CGTCACTCTACCTCCACCGCAACCGTCACGCCGCCTCCTCACCGCAACAGTGAGTGTATTTACTAATTTACACTGGCGAGTAGTATGCGACTTCACGAGCATGGCCTCTGCCAAATGCAAATGCTGAGATTGCTCGATTTCCTTCTGTATTTCGGTTTTTTTTTCCTCTCTCTCTTGCGGCTGACACCCTAGTGTTTCTGTGTGCGTAGGTGGAGAGCGTGAGCAAGGAGAAGAAGGAAATGGAATCGACCGAGTCCTCCTACGTGTCCTCGCCGGAGGCTCCGGGGAAGAAATCTCCTCCGCCGCCCAAATCCCCCACTTCAGGTTCCTGATCTGATCTGCTTTCTCGCACTCTCGCTCTCTCTTGAGTTGTCTGTTTTGTGTTATGGAGGATATACCTTCCTGCGTCGTTTCTATGTTGAATTTCGTCCGTTCGGACTCCGACCTTAACCCTAGGGTTACAGCTACAACTTGGGAGGCCAGATAGTTTTAATTGGGGTCGCATTTTTAGCCCTGTTCGTTTTTTTGAAGAGAAATGAGGGTGAAATGTGGAGTGTTATGAGACTGTTTTGTCCATGGAAAGGGAGGATTTACTCAATGCATCAGTTTACGCAACTGTTTCTCACTTCAATTAGCATTGAATACTGTTCTTCCCACTCTAGCATTATCTTCTGCGAACTTGCTGGTTTCTCCAATGGTGCTGTTCGAGTGTTCTCCATGAATGTATTTTACAACTTCCGCTTGTTTTGTAATGCATTTTAGTGGCTAGTGTTCACTCTAAACAACTATCTGCTGGATTTTGGGTATTTCTCGGGCTTAATTAGCTGGTTTTTGTTTCTGCATCATGCAATAATTCAGTCCCATTGGAATTTTGAGCATGAGGTGTTTCCCCCCTATGTCGTCACAGTAACGGTGTACAAGGGGTTGGTCTCGGAATAATCTGTATGTCCCGTGATGGGTTGAACTTACTTGGCATGCTAGACATGGAGGTCACGTATGCTCTAGATGTTTAAAATTCTCCTCGATATTCACTTGTGTAAATTCTTGGCATCTGTTATGAATTGATGCGCTGATGTAAAATATGACTCTAGATTGGTGTTACCTTTGCTAATGTGCTTCTCAGTGATTGGTCTGATACACGCTGCTTTAGTTTATATTATCAATTGGTTTCTTGTTTCCTTGTTTAAATTGGAATCCTTAATGATTAATGTCTGTACTTTCCTTGTCTAGACAGGAAGGAGTCTTTATTACCTGTCGGTAGGACTTGATACCAATAAGGGATTAGTTTTCTTGCTTTCTAAGCAGAGATTTGAATAAAGTGAACTATCGAGTGTTTTGACTTGTTTCTTTGAGTGGATTTTCAAACCCTTCTTAGTGGTTTCTCAAGTGAAGTCTTGGTGCTGGAATGGCGAGCCAGCCCTTAAATCTCTACCTGAATTTTCAGCTACAATCTGGAAAATCACCTTTATCTTCCCTATGTTCTCTAATAAACCCTGGACATATTATTAATGCCACTTAGTTGCACAAATTCGTGGCTTGTCTTTTACTTTTCATTTAAGATATTTAATATCTGTATTGAATTGCTGATGGAAGATATAACAGGATTGGCTTGCCTGGGCTAATGTGTTTTCGTGGCAGATACCATGGAGAAGGCAGCATATATTAGATTTCTGGTGTCAAATGCTGCAGCTGGTTCAGTGATTGGGAAGGGTGGTGCTACAATTACAGAATTCCAGTCTGAATCGGGAGCAAGGATCCAGTTATCACGCAACTATGAATTTTTCCCAGGGACATCTGATAGAATAATTATGATTTCTGGAAACATTGATGAGATTTTAAGGGCTGTGGAACTTGTTCTTAATAAATTGCTTAGTGAGGTAATGCTTCCTCTCCCGCTAACAAGAAAGTTCATAAGGTTGATCACATGTGCTTTGTGCTTTCTAATTAAACTTTTGTGTTTATCTTTCTCTACTCAGCTTAATACTGAAGATGGTGCTGATGCTGAACCACGTATGAAACTGAGGCTTATTGTCCCAAATGGCTCTTGTGGCAGCATTATTGGGAAAGGAGGAGCTATCATCAAGTATGAACTGCTTTTTCTTTTGTGATGTACATCTTTCGTTGAGTGTAGCTTATACTTATGTAGATTTGGACTAGATCCAACTTCGATCAATTTTCTAAAATTTGGTACTAGTGGTGATGATTAGCATGCCCAATAAAATTTTCTTCTATCCTGTCGTGATATTCGCCTGTTTCTGTATTTATTCCAGTGGTTGAGGAAGTTTGTTCTTCTCTGTCCTTCATCACTAGTTATCATTGGTACTTTGATTTGCAAAGCTTGCATTTCATGATGTGTTTGAATCTGTAGTGGAATGCTTCTTGAGAGATTTTTCTCTCTGCAAGCATTTCACTCTTTTCTGTTCGTGTTTGTAGTGTATTTGACTCTTTAATCTATATATGCTTTTGACACATCTACAGAACAGAGTCGCTGTTTTCTACCTACCATGTCACGGCAAGATGACTTGCGTTTGAAACTTTCTCAGCCATGTTTCTATTATGCTGGTTACAAGCTGATTTTTCTAGAAATCCATAAAAAATTTCTCAAATCCTATAAAATTCGTAGCGTCAAGCGATCAGCCTGTAACTGAAGAGGTGAAGAATGGAAAAACTGATGATTGTTCACTTCTTTTTAGGTCATTCATTGAAGACTCCCAAGCTGGCATTAAGATATCTCCACTGGACCATAACTTTTATGGATTGAATGATAGGCTGGTGACCTTAACAGGTACTTTGGATGAGCAGATGCGTGCAGTTGACCTCATTTTGTCAAAGCTAGTTGAAGATCCTCACTACTCACAGAGCATGCATACCCCATTGTCGTATGTAGGTATGTAATCATCTCTGTATTATCCTGGATTCTCTCTCCAAGTCTTTCCTTCTTTTATTGCTTGACTGAGGAAAGATTGTGCGTGCTGTTACTCTTTATTGAACTTTTATGCCAAGCCTATGCTCTTGCTTGGTCCTGGACTGGTTTCAGAGGTTCTAAGCTTGTACTGCAGATATTAGATGAAGTAACTTTTTCCAGCCTTTCTTTCGTCCCTGCTGTATATTCTTCTTTCTTGTCCCTTGTTTCTCACTGGTGTCAATTTTTTCCCCATTAGTATCTCCAGTTGGTTCAAATTGGTTGGAAATACTTGTGCCTTTAGGCTTTAGTTGATCTAGTAATCCACTTCTCCATTATAGAACATCCTAATTCAACTTTTTTAACTTATTTAATTTTTTTTAAATGACGAGAACGCACTCTACTTTATATTTTCTTACATCTCCATTTTTAGTCCATTCTGTTCTAAACTTCAAAAGGTTTTGGGCCCATCTTTATCATTTTGCACAGCCTTCGTATTTCCAGAGCTTCATTTACCCTAAAAGAGTCGACAAATTCTTGGACCACTGAATCATTTCATAATCGCATTATAATAAAATTTTCACACAAACCTCTACTTATACTATGAACTGCAGTCGACAATCCCCCCGATGCGGCTTTTTTTAGTTTTTATGTTTATCTTTAGCTCAGTTCACGTTTTGTGTGCTAACTTACTGTGGTTTTTATGGTCTTTTATCTGTATATGTGGCTCCTTATGTAGCAACAACAGCGTACAATGTGGTGAACTATGCTGGACAAAATGGTGGTGGAGGAAAGTTCCAGAATAACAAGGTTCCTTTTTGCCAGATCATCTTTGTTCTACACAAGACGATCTTACCATGATAATAATGATGGATAGATTATTTATATCTTATACAATGTGAACATGCACTAATACTGTTTTCCAGGAAGAGCGTACCAACTCGGTTACAATTGGTGTGGCTGATGAGCACATCGGGTTGGTTGTTGGTCGCGGTGGAAGGAACATACTGGAAATCAGCCAGGTTAAGTGGATTCTTGAGACTCCCTCTTTCATGTTGAATGACTAGACGACCCGTTTTAATGAATAAGTGAAAGTGCATAGTTCACGAAGCACTAAAGTCCTCTGTTGGTTTTGTTGTTTTTCACAGGTCAGCGGGGCAAAGATAAAAATATCAGACAGGGGTGATTTTGTAACTGGGACAAATGACAGGTACGAATCCCGACCAACTCTTAGCTCTCCTACTGCCCAAATCGCTGTAACTCAGAAACTTATATTTCTGTCATGGCCATGCTGTTGTTTGGCAGGAAAGTAACAATCACAGGGACGCAGAGAGCTGTCCGTGCTGCTGAGAGCATGATAACTCAGAAGGTGTCTTATGCTTCGGAGAGAGGAACCGACCAGCTTTGAGATCTGGGTGCTTCATTCCAGTGCAGTTGGTAGTTGCGGATTTTGTTCGTTCGCTTAATCTCGTTAGTTCCTTAAATTCGTTGGGATAGAAACCTTTGCAATTTCGTCTGTTGTTATAATTGGGAGACTCGGGAGTCTGGTTTACATGTCTTGTTAAGAGATGATGAGTAGATGAGTGTTTGATGGATTTCGGTCGGCAGATTTCAGGAGCATAAAAGTTACGTGGTGTTTATTTGTTTTAGGGAGGGAGAGTGGGCATGAAAGTTTTCCTTTAGGCACGGTCGATAGATTTAAGTTTCTGGGAGCTAAGGAAGAATTTGGAGTTTCTTGGGAGGGAAGCAAAGGGAAGTTGGATTATGTTCAGGTTGAAAGTAGCTTCAGACTGTATATTCAGCAGTAGCTTATTTGATATAGTTGCTAAATTACATATGTCTACGGTCTACCTGCATCTCTTTGCCTATTTTTGCTTTGGATGGCCATTTACAAGTATCGTGATATGCATTCCCACTGATAAATCTATGGATGCCTGATGGCCTATGACTAACATGCATGTCGAAGCTCGGAGGCAAATCACTGAACGGCAGAGATTATATGGGCACACTAGCGTCGCGTGCAAGGAGATCGAAGTTAGGGATCCAAATGTACTAAGCTATTCATCAACAGCACGGCATAGGCTTGAAAAAATCTCGGCCGAAACTAGGTCATTTACTATCGACCATTTGATGCCTGAACAGAAGCTAAACTTATGCGTCGAGAAATGAGGCAGCTGTATTCTGTTCAACTCTTCCATGTGCGTCTATACACCAATGTTAAAAAGGAAAGGAACCTCCCTACCTATCTATAACTGAAACAGCTTCACCAATATGAAACCTTGTCTGTGCGGATTGTCCTACCGAGACAAGCTGTCGAAATAAGCGTCACTGGAAGTAATCCACTGGCAAATGGGCATCTTAAAATGGCCAAACAATCTCCTAGCGAGAAATAAGAGTAAAGTCCACGTCGTTCATATCAACAGAGTGAAGCGGGCAAAAATTTCTCCTTCATGCGGGAAATAAGTTTAAACTTCTCCTCGGCCTCGACCTGTTGACGAATGTCAGTTCTCGAAGCTCGATCGGGATGGAACTTCAGCAATGCTCGTTTGTAAGCGGCATGCACCTGAAATGATATCAGCAAGATCAAAAGTGTCCATGTATGGAATAAGTTCAATTTTAATACATCGGAAGTGAAGCAGTAGAGTAGATCCCTTCCAAAAATTGTGGACCATGTGCACATTCAGAACTAGGCAATCCTAGATCCACATTTCCTTCCCTAAAAAGGCACTTCAGACTCTATATGAGATATGCACAAGTTAATAGACACTACAGAACACTCATCACCTTGACACAATGGCTGTATGGATCATTAAGAAAAGAATCCCCAGGTTTTAGTCATCTCAAATATAGTCCACTATAGGCAAATTCCAAATAATAAACGCATTGCAGAAATGGAACTCACCTCACGTGACGTAGGTGGAAAGAAGCCACTACCCACATCGATCCCTAGACCACGAAGCACTGATGCCAAATCGAAGCATCGACTTTCCAACAGTGAAAGATCCTTCCTCATTTGAACACGGAGTCTCTCTTTCATGTTCAAGTTTTCTTCATCCTGATTTTGGCATCAGTCAGATCCAAGTAAATCCATCACTACAATATCTTAGCATATAACTTTCCTGAACAAATTAGTATGCATATTAGTTAGAGATATACCTTCTTCTGCGTCTTTCTCATTTCTTCCAGCCGCTCCTTCTGCCTTCTCTCCATGTCTGAAATGCGCAACGCTTCAGCCTTTTTCCTCTTACGTAATCTATGTGCCTCTTCAGCCTGCATAACTAAGGTGTCAACTACCACAGATAGATACCCCCCTAGGCAGGTTGAATTGCTTAAAATAAGGGCTTAATCAAATGCTTGTGTTGACAATAACCAAAAAGTAAACGATGAATTTAGTGCACCACGCCGGCCAATTTGATTATTTTGCAGATGAAATAATGGCAGCAACAATTAAAGAACATCAACAATTTATATACCATACCTGAATTCTTAGTTGCTGATGCCTCGCTTCCCATTCCTCTTCAGTCGCTCGCTTGTATTCTTCGGTCTCCTTCAGCTTTTCTCTATCATTAATTATGTTTCCTTGAGAAAGGAAAGCATCCACAGGTGAAGCAAATAATTGGTTGGTTTCACCACATTGTTGAAATTCTGAGACAGGCTCAGTGAATGGCTTCTCTACTTCCTCTATTCCTGATGTCTCTGGCCTGTTCTCTGTTGTGTGAAGCTGATCTCTGCGGGGAACTTTTTCAGCATGTGGCATCTCCATATCTTGGTGACCGGATTTCTCAGATATTTCATCAGATGATTGAGCATAATTCTCAACCGGGGCAAGTTCTTCTACACCTTTGGAAGCAATACCATTACTACATGCAGCATTGTGTGGGCTTTCTTGACTTTTATGAACAGAAGATTTACCAAGATTATCCACATTTCCCGGAACTCCATCCTCACAGGAAGAACTATCTTTATCCTGAAACTTCTGGTTATCCTGGACAGGTGCAGGAATAGCCGGTGTAGAACATGCAGAAGTATGTTCTCTACCACTTTCTTGGTCCTCATCCAAAGAAGTTTGTCTACTGCTATTTCCTAAATCAACATTTTGGCGAGTGTCAGTAGAGTAGTTGTAGCAAGCCTCTGTATCCTGTGCACCAGATTGATCCTTACTAATATTAGATTTCTGCCTCTTAGAAGCTTTTTCCCACTGTTCCCAAGGGTTTCCATGAGAACCATCCAAAATTTCACAATCAGAAGAGTCACTTTCAGACGAACCACTCTCGGAATCAGAATAGTAGCCAAAACGATTCCTAGAAGTAGATTCATCAGTGTGGGGTTTATTGTGTTTAGGACGGTAGTCAGTTGATCTTCTGCACCAAATGAACTCACAATCATCATCAGCATCAACTGTGAACTTGTGTGTGTTGCCAAAAGTGGAACTACTCGGCATGCCATCAACCCTCACATTCTTATTACGGTTACCACGAACTCCAGACGGATCCACCTTACGACTTCTAAAATTTAAGTTATTATCATCCTCGTCGTCCCTGTCGTCATCGTCATCATCAATGCTTATCGCCCCCTCAAAAGACACTCTATTTCCTTCCCTAAGCACATGAGAAGGTCTTCGTTTTTTCTGGAAAGGCCTAGGAATATCATTGACTTTCTTTGGCTTTTTGGGAACATCAAAGCTACTCACATCATCATATCCATCACTGTCTATATCAATCACCACAACATTATCAATCTTGTCCTTCATCTTGCAGGCTCGTAATGTTTTCTTTCCGGAGCAAGGTCTGGACTGAGAACAATCCATAGACAGTCCCTCTCCTCTCATTTCATCTCAGATTCCTGCACCAAGTTCACACCATTCGATCAATCTAGGCTGCTCACAGCGACATAATAATTGACAATCGAGATAAAACTTAAGCGCCGGCGGAAAAACCCCCTACCAAGAACTTTGGAGTATCAAACAGATGATGCACAAAGGGAAAGTATCACTTATGCATATGCTTCGCCTGGTTACTAACACCTCAAAAGGCTTAAAAAAAATGGAAAACTTCCTCACTAGCTCGACAAAGAATCAAAATTGAGGAAGGGAACAAATTATAGATACGAATTCCTACAAACACCCATAAGCAAACTTATACGTCGAGATTGAAACTTTACAACTTCAGGAAGCAGCTGTAAATAGGTAGACAAAGCAGAGAGCACCTCCCAATACGCAAAGGAAAACAATTGTGCATTCGAAGCCCGGCAAGTTCTGCAAGCTAAAACCGAAAATCTTAACGCAATCTCCACAGGATCACCTAATTCAATAACTCGTCGCTCCTCCCTTACCAAGCCCCGTTACAAAATTCCACATCATGGTTTGCCCTAGAAGTAGAACTCACCACGTAAACGACAGCAACAGTTCATTTCAACTCCCAGCACAACGCACTCAAGAAAACCCACAATCAGTTACAGAAGAAGAAAAAAAACCTAATTCCCCAATTCGAAACCGACCAAAATTCAGGATCGTACCGAAACCCAGAACTCGAATGCGGCCCACCAGCCACTAAAACCCCCCCAAAAACTAACTCGAAGCCGGAAGTCAAAGCAGAATCAACAGGCAGCAGCAGCCGCAATCAGCAATCGACAGCAAAACTTACCTATGAATCATGGAACCGAGAGAGCGGAACCCAAAACCGGAGCCACTCCGCAGACAAAAAGTGAAGCGGTGGCCCTAAAATGGCAGCCTTTGAGGAATGGCAATTCTCACGCCACCAACACCTCCCGGAAAAGGGCAAACAAAAAAGGCCAACAAGTTTCCCCCCGGGTGACGTACTGCGGCCGCTGCGTGCGGTTCGGGTCGAGAATCCAGAAAAAAGACTTTGGCTTTGGCCTTCGGTTGAGAAGTCGGGCGCTGGAGTTGGCGTTGAGATTTGAGAAACCAATCAACAAATCTTATGCCATTTTTTTAACAATCGGAAAAAGGAAAAACACTTATGCCATTTATTTTGTCAAGAGATCAATAAGGCAACAGAATTTGGGTCATGGTCGCGTGGATTATTATCCGCTTCAAAATGGGCTGGCAAGCGACAATGGGCCACCGAAGCCCAACCCAAGGGTCAGCGAATCGAAACTTTTTCCAAACCCAAATATTCCGATTGATTTTTTTTTTTTAATATTCTAGAACAAAAATATGAGATACGAATATATATATACATAAAATATAAAGTCTAAACGGGTTGAACTAAATTTATTTTGAACCAACAATGAATTTATTTGTTTTATTTTGATATGAGAGCCCTAATGTACATTTTTTACTTGGACAAAATTCATGACAGAACATCAACCCTTTTTACACAATGAAAACCATGAAGGCATGAACCTAACCGATACTATGGGTTAATTGCACAACATACCATATAAGTATTGCTTTCGTTGCATACTTACCACTTAATTTTGTTAAGTTGCAACTAAACTATGTAACTCAATTTTTAGTTGCATCGTTACATTTTCCATCTCTAAATTTAATATTGGGTACCAAATTGTAGTTTTCATTCCACATGGGCGTTCCAGCTCAGCCTCTAATTGTTGAGTCAGATAGTAAACTACTAAATCCATATGCGCCCTCTTTTCATTCCCCTTCTCTACTATTTTCCTCTCATATTGCTCTGCTTTCTTTTCCTAGTCCTTCATTTGATAACATGACTCAATCATCTTGGTCCACCGACTAATTAATTTTCATATCTATGAATTGGAATTTCAACTCTTCTCCGGAGACATCCGCGACGCAACTTCCCCGGAACAAGCTCTGTTTCAGCCCACTTTCGATGAGATGAAGCTCGTCGTCATTTCCAAGACATGGCCGATCGGTGCCAACCTGACGGAATGGAGGGTCGCGCCTTCGCTTTCTACCGCGCCCTCGCCGACAAAGGCCGCGTGATTCAGACATATGGAGCCATGGCCAGCGAAGACAAAGCTTTCGACACTCTCAAACTCGGATTGTTGATGTCGACTACAAAAGGTACACTTCCCAAATCCTAAGTAAAGGCATGCTATGTAAGTCCCCATCCTCTGTTTTTCTCCCTCTTACTCTTTTCTAGGCAAAAAAACAACTTCTGGGTTTTTGGTTGAATTGAATGTTGGATCTAAGAATTAGGGAACTATTTAAGCTTATGTTTACCTCTTATTAATCCCTTGTTTTAAATATCTCCAAGCTTCTGGTTCTCTCTTCATATTCTGAATTTCTTTACTAATTGTGTTACTGTAAATTGTTATGCTTTGTTTCTTGCTTCATTTTTTCTCTTTATTTTTCTTTGTCGAACGGGGCAAGGGGAGCTGAAGGTCGTTGGTAGGGTCGGAGTTGGGATTGACAAGGGGATCTCGATCAGTGCTACTCAAGAAGTCGTTCAGCGACAGCCGACAGTGAAGCAAGCATTGAAACACCTGGATTTCAAAGGAAACACGTGGATTTTTTTGTGGTCCACTATAGTCTATAGGATGAGCTCGAATGCTTACATGGTGCGAAAAAGTACAATTTGGTACCCACAATTAAATTTTGAAACAGAAAATATAACAATGCAACTAAAAACCATCTTTTATAGTTTAGTTGCAACTAAAAAAATTTAAATAGTCAGTGTGCAACAAAAGCGATACTTATATGATATGAGGTGCAATTAACCCCCGATACTATCATACATGTAACATGGAAAAAAAAAATTGTGCAACTTGTAGAGAAAATAAGAATCACATTGTATATTCGAACTTAATTTATTATTATGGCAAAAATTATAAAGGTCAAACTTAATACAGTGGTCAAGGTGCTAACTTGAATTTGTGAACTCAAGGTCGACGGTTTGACACTCTTAGTACACATTTTTTTTGCATTTTTTCGTAATTGAAAAGGATAATGACAACGAAAAAGAATCGCATAGTCTAACGATGATGAAATTGAATATCGTCGGTTGTAAGTTCATCATCTAACATTCTGTAAGTAGCGTGGTAATGATAATCCTCACATGAAACCAAGTCACGTGCCGATCTATCATTAAATCTGTCCATTCGTAATAATTAATTTGAACTCATGGGTAGTTGTCATAATCTCCTCCTCCATATCCAGACCCGTAACCTTTCCCTGACCCGCTACCATACCCGAATCCACCATTCCTTCCCCCTCTTCCTCCGCCACCTCCACCGCCGCCACCACCACCGCCTTTCCCGCTTCCGCCACCGTACCCACTTCCACTCCCGTAACCCGACCCATACCCGCCATTGCCATTGCCACTGCCTCCTCCCCCTCTGCCACCACCGCCGCCACCACCACCTCCCTCGCCTCCTTTCCCAGCCCCAGACCCATACCCATGACCCGACCCACTCCCGGACCCTGACCCATGACCCGAAATGGAGCCACCGCCACCGCGCCCTCCGCCGCCTCCACCACCACTTCCGCCTGCATTCCCAAACCCGGACCCACTCCCTGACCCGTGCCCCGAACCCGACCCAACTCCAGCCTTCCCACCACCACCACCACGTCCTCCGCCACCGCCGCGTCCTCTACCGCCGACGGTCCTGGCAGCAAAGGCAACGTCGACAAGGAGCAGGACAAGGAAGGCAGCACCAATTACCCGCTGATTTCTCATCAACGAACCTGCCATTTTATCTCGCACGCAGCTATCAAGCTAGTAAAAAACCACAATTGATGATCGATCAACTACTTGAGTGAAGTGTATTCGAGAGAGAGAGAGATGCGGTTTTGTGGGAGAAACCAAGGGCAGGCCTGCAGGGTATTTATAGGCATTGTTGTTAATGCATATATGTTCATCGAGATAGTGGAGGGGAAGGAAGGCTGGTCTGATCTTGATCAAAGTCACTGTTGAGAGACTTAAAAGTGACTTTTAAGGCTTTAGTTGCAGCAGTACATTTCGTTGGCTTAGTGGGTTCTGGTGGAGTGGTGGTGGGGCTGGTTTCTGTGGACCATTTCTATGGCTTTCGCCAAGGATGATTCGTTGGTTTACAGAATAGATGAAGGATTAGCATGAATTCATTAAGCCCACTGTTAATCCACTCTGCACTCTGCAGCTTCCACCTGCCTCTTTACACTATTCATTTTAGGGTTTAGAAGCAGGGTTTATGGTCTTGCTATGTGAAGTTCTTTCTTTTCTGCAGAAAAAAAAGCTAATGGAACATGTTCAGAAAGCTCGAGCTGTGACCATAAAAAATCCACCATTATCAGCAGGAAACAAAATCAAAAACAACTTCAAATACACATTTTGAAGATTAAGGATGATGAGAAAAGTGTCTGATTATGGCAAACTTACTCCCCAGCAGGGCCACGGATATGGCGATCGACCAGCTCAGATTCAGATGGCTCACCAACCAAAATTGCAGTGTCCCCATATCCCTTAGTGGAATACTGGGTCTGGTCTTTTCACTTTCAGGTTTCCATACTCAAATGTATTGTGCACTATAGCTTATAGATTGCCTGATGCACTTTAGGCTATGGAGACTGGACAGGACATTATCATTTGCCCTCCATCTTGGCCTGCTTCCCACCTTCATTCTGCAGAACGGAAATTCTAAGCTAGCTAGGTGCACAAGTTGACCAATTGAGTACTCAAAACACTACCAGTACTTAGTTATGGAATATCATTCACATGGGTGGCCCTTTGAAACTCATCAGTGTTTGAGTTTCAAATGATAATGTCGTTTCATCCTTCTGTGAGGAAAAAAAGAAGAAGAAACTCGCGGCTTTGATGTCTTTAATTGAATATATATTTCATAGGGAGGAAGGGCATGGTCTTCTACTTGGGAGGGATCTTCTTCTCCACAGTATAAGGTGTTTGTCGAGAACTATTTGGTTTCAATAACTCAAATTGCTGAGACAAAATTCAATAATAAATCATATACCGTTTACTGACAACGAGAAGTGGGGTTGCAAATTATTGAAGCTTTCACTTATAACTGGCTTTTGGCTTCACCTCCACATGTTATGATCCCTGGGAGTAAATTTCTTCGTAAAGGAAGAGTTGTGATTAGAGATGGCAATCAAACCCATGGCCGCGGGTATCCGACCGCCTCCGACCCAGTCAACGCGGGTAATCCCCGCTTTGACCGGGTATGGGGCGGGTACGGGTAAAACCCGCAAAAAGTTTGATGGGTATGGAGCGGGTATGGTTTTAGCCTCCCCCGCCCCATACCCATACCCATATCCGCCCCACCAAGAGAATTTCTTCACATATACAAAAATATGTAGATCAAATTGTAATCTATCAATGATGATGAGGATAACTCGAGGAAATAAATAGTAGAAATGCAATTGAGTGACCACCTTAATCAAAACCTAATTCATTTCCCTCAATTCTCCTTTCACCCTTTCACTTTCCCCCTTGTCAACAAGATTATGTTAGTTAATTATTTCTTAGTAGATGTATCAGAGTTAGAACATAATAATTCGAAAAATATTATACTCTATATTATGTATTAACGAATGTTTTAGAATCATATTCTTTGAACAGTATTAAGAAAATGATCGTGTTTTGTTGAATTCGTGATATAATAGGTACGTTTAGAGTTGTAGTTAAAACGTTTCTTGTAAATTTTAGGATAATAATGTTGGATGTACGGGTACGGATATTACCCATGGGTACCCGAAACCCACGGGTATGGGGATGGGTTTGCCAAATATTCCCACGCATGGGTATGAGGCGGGTATGGGTTTGGATATTTGAAGATGGGGATGAGAATGGTTTAGACAAACCCGCCCCATTGCCATCCTAGTTGTGATAGTGGCATTCACCAAAACTTCAATATTTATTATTTGTTTCACAGTTAATTGAGGTAATTCGGTCACTTTCTTTGTTTGGTGGGACCAAGAACCACCATAATTTGGTATTTCATTGAGAGGTCCGATCACGCGCGAATGCTTTATAAGTCGTTGATGATGCGAGTCTCAACTGTTGTACATGCCGGGCTTGTACCGACACGATGTTGGGTCGTGTTTGAGTCGGCACGGCACGGGCACGCTTCAGACCCATTTATTTCGTGTCGTGTTTTTCACAATTCTTCTGTTTTTGTGTTGTGTCGTGAAATCTCATTTGTTAACTTTGCTAGGCCAGATCCAGGCTCGAGCACGGTTCGAATCTTGGTGTGCTTATTCGTGCTCGTGTCGTGCTCGTATTCGTGTCTAATGAATGAGAAGAAAATAAAAGAAAGAATGAAAAAGGAGGTGAAGAATTGGACGGAGAAAGATATTATTAACCGGTAATGTTATATAAAAGTAACACATAAGGGAAAAAAAAGAAAAATTTGATGCATAGGAGGTGTGATTTGACTTTGTTTAATTCTTCGTCCATTTTTACTTATGGTAGTAATTACGTATATATTTTTATGACACTTCTAATAAATATTATTTTTGAACCTATATTTCTTTTTATATTTATTTTCTATCAAATAATTGTTATTTTTGTGTCATGTCCGTTTTTATGCTCAATGAAATCTCAAAAACATTAGGCCTAACACGACCCACTTATATACCGTGCCGTGTCCATAAAATTTAAGCTCGGCACAGCCCATAAATTATTCGTGCTCGTGCCGGAATGACTCATTTATTTCGTGCCCGTGCTCTAACCATGCCGTGCCGTGCTAACCTGTAGACGGCCCGGCCCGGTGCCACGTACCGGTGCCACGTACAGTCTCAACCCCTAAACGTGATACAATGGTCTCAGGCCTCGGCCCAAATGTGTCACGCTGAGCACAGAATAAGTAGGCCCAAAAAGTCTTGACTTTGAGCGACGGACCAGAACCGCCGACACAAAAAAAAAAAAAAAAACCTGTATCGATACAGGCCATCAAGAACGCATTCGAGATTACGTGCTGACCTGGCAACTGCCACCGGATGCCATCCTCCGTCCCTTCTTCCTCACTGTCGTTCTCCTCCTCCTTCTCCTCCTTCCGATCCCAATAATCTCAACAACGCGTCATTTCTCCCACCCTCCCGCGGCTGCTTTTCCTCCTTACCACCGCCGCCCTTTGTAGCCGTCGCGCCCGGGCCACTGTCATTTCCGTTTCCCGCTCACTCTCCGATTCAATATCCTCCCTCCACTCTCAGATCCCGATTTCCCCTCCTACCCCTCTACGCCGACTCCGATTCAGGTACATTCATCACCTGGTTGCTGTGATCCGCCCTGATTAGGTGATGACGTAAAAAGAGTGTTGAATCTTTCCTCTCATTGGCAATTCCGAGGGGGGCTGTCAATTTGATTTCGAGTTTGCCTGGTTAGGCTAGAACCCGCAAATTGGAATGTGGTGGGAATTGGTTTAGAATTGTGTGGTTATGTTCTGATCGGCCGGAGTCTGAATGGAAGGACGGTGGGAATGGATGTGGATTTCGGGAATTTAGTGGATCTGCTCAGTGATTGTATGGCTAGTGAAGATTTCCCCCCCGCCCGAAATGGACGATCCAAGTCCAATGAGCTGTTTCTTGCATTGTTTAATAGTCTCTGAATTTGGTTTTTGATGGATGGTTATCATCCGTAGTGTTCGGAATTGATCTTTTGAGATAGGTTGTCGCGTATATGGTCTGGGAACAACGGTTTCGATGTTGTTTCTGCAAAATTGAATGAATTTATTGATCCTGGTGGTTTGCTTATATGAAAGTATCTTTTGCTTCCTCGAGGTTTTGGTCTGTATGGTCTTTAAATCCTGATGCTTTTTCACTTGGGTCTTCTCGGGTGGATCTTTGAGAAACAATGGCAGCAAAAGATTGCTGATTTGCTTGAGATGCTAATCTGCATCTGACCACTTACTATTAAAGTTTTATGTGTGCTTGAAGTTACTCATGGTTTCGGGCGCTGTTTGATTTTATGTTGCCCAGAAACTCTGCTATGGGAACTGAGGAGATTAAGGGTGTAGATGTGGGTGATTGGTTTACACAACTGGAATATGAACAATGGGTGGCAATTCCTGTTTTTGGCACAAGACCATCGGCTCGCTACAAGGTAAGCCTTTCTCTTCCCAAATGGTTTATTTTATTTCCATTGGTTTTGAAACCTCTCACCTTCTCTTATTGAATGCTGTGATGTTCGCAGCTACTGGTGGTCTTTATCTTTGTTTCTTTTCTGTTTGGTCTCCTTGGTAGAATTTCAGGTTTTAGCATTTCATTCTCCATCAATTCTGACGGATTTTCTTTTTTCATTTCGTTGCAGCATGCCGCTGCCATTGCTGATGATAAGTTATATATATTTGGTGGAAGCCGTAATGGTCGGTACCTATCTGATATACAGGTGTGGAATGTGTCCATTTTTCAGCATGTGGAACTTCCATCCTACTCATTTATGTATCGACATCATCGTGTGTTATCGATTCTTTATAGGTTTTTGATTTCGGAAGCTTGGCTTGGTCTAGCATTAAACTGAACATTGAATTGAATGGTCATAAAGTTGAGGAAATGGGATCACAGGAAGCTCTTCCTGCCACGTCAGACCACAGCATGGTAGGAACTTGTATATGAGTGTTCGAGGAGATCCTTCAGATCCAAGTGTGACCTGTAAAAATGAACACACTTTCTGTCTTTCATTTAGATTCAACTGATAATATTTGTGAACTCTAACAGGTCAAGTGGGGAAACAAACTGCTGCTACTCAGTGGGCACTCCAAAAACTCTTCTAGTAGCATGATAGGTTAGTTTTTGTTTATATAAATGGAGTATATTCTCTTACTCCCACTTCCCCTAGACAACCGCCCCAGGAGTAGTTTGTTAGACTCATGTCACACAAATCATCTGGTGCAGTGCACTTTATTGATCTACAAACACAACAAGTTGGCATCCTTGAGACCTCAGGAGATTCTCCTGTAAGTGCCAAGCATTTTTTATTTTGGTCTGTTCCTTTAATGTTCCCCACTCATTATTTTGTTTCAATGGACTTTTCTCCAGAAATTCAATGCTAAAACGGTTGTGTAAAATAAAGCTTTATATGAAACATGCTGAATTGTGTTTCAGTCTGCTCGAGGGGGATATTCTGCTACAATTGTTGGTTCTAGACTGGTGATTTTTGGTGGAGAAGATCGAAGTAGGAAGCTGCTGAATGACATTCACACCCTTAATCTTGAAACCATGATGTGGGAACTGGTGGAATCAATGTAAGCAATTTTGTTTACTTTTGTACACACAACTGCTATGTCAGGGAAACCTTCTTCAAACTTTCGCATGTTTCATAGGCAGACACCTCCAGCTCCGCGATTTGACCACACAGCAGCAGTACATGCAGGGCGCTACCTTTTGGTATTTGGTGGTTGTTCTCATTCGATCTTCTTCAATGATCTTCATGTGCTTGACCTACAGACGGTGGGTTTATCAGCGCATTTACTTGACACACTTCTTTTTTTCTTCTCGATAAGAAGTAGAGTGTGAATAATGAGACCGGGAGACAGTTATTGGTTCAAGAATTTTTAGTTGGTTAAATTCTTTTGGGAAACATACTGGTGCAGATGCATGACATGAATTTTGATACTGCATCCATATGAATGATGTATTTTTTCTAATAGCACCCTGTAATATTAATCCAATCAACCAAAGGATTGAGATTCATATTTATTGGACTTGGCTATGGGGTATGCCTTTATTTTTTGTGTATTCATTGCAAAGGATTGTTTAATTTTACCTAGAAAAGGGAAGACAACCTTGTTTGATGTTCTAGATCTTAGGTGTTTTGCAGATTATGTTGAACTAGTGTGCACTGAGTGTCGCCTTTGATTCAGTGAGGTTTCTCGCTATTTCAGATGGAGTGGAGCCAACCAGAGATTCAAGGTGATTTGGTGACTCCTAGGGCTGGTCATGCTGGTGTAAGCATTGATGAGCACTGGTATATCGTTGGGGGAGGAGATAATAAAAATGGTACTGACACCTTGGCCTTTGTCCTTGTTCATATGGTTGCATATGCCGCTGTGCACTAGTCTCAGAAATCCTTCCCCTCTGTTTATTTGATGTTTCGATGGCTTAAGCTGGTTAACTACATACTAGCTCTTAATCATGAAGAAAGTAAATACTAGTAGGTTTCAGGTTCATCGTTTCTTACAATTGGTTGGAGTTCCTCCACCTTCAATGCGCATAATTTATTTACCTTCGGTTTGGCATTTTAGATTGTTGATCCCATGCCTGCTAATATGGATGCATGCAGTAGAATCCATCCCGTAGACAATTTTAAAGCTGGAATAGTGACTCTCTTAGTCTTACATTTGATTCAGAAATTTAGTATTTCTGCCTGATTAAGTTCTGATCATAAAACATGCTTTGCTAATTTTACAGGTTCTGTAGAGACCCTTGCATTGAACATGCCCAAGCTTGCATGGTCAACATTGACCAGCGTAAAGGAAAGACATCCACTTGCCAGTGAGGTCTGTACTTTTCGCTTTGGAGGTATTCTTTATATGTATACGAGCTGTCCCTTTTTTGTACCATGATATCTCTTGAATATCACTGTTCCTCATACTTCATGTAGTAGATGTACCTTGCTTCCACTTGTTATGATGCTGTGTTAAATCATTCTAAGTGTTCTCTTGTCTCCAAAATTGGTATCTGCATTGAAATGGAACTTGGTAGTGATTGATGAATAATACTCCAACTTGCTTGTAAATCGGTTTGCACGTAGCTGTATTTTGATATCCTGGATTGTGTCAAACTGCCCCCTGCCTTTATCATTGCCACGAGAAACAGTTTTGTCTAGATATTTCTTTCATTTGGCTTTTCAAATAGGAAGATGGTTTATAATGTTTTTTTTGTGTCTGTAAAACAGGGGCTAAGTGTTTGCTCTGCATTGATCAATGGGGAGAAGTACTTGGCTTCTTTTGGTGGCTATAATGGGAAATATACTAATGAGGTATAATCCATTGCAAGAGTTGTCAGTGTCCTCATATTGATTCCTTTTCCATATTATGTCTGATCTCAGTTAGTTTTAGGTCTTTGTTATGCGACTGAAACCCAGAGACACGTTACGACCCAAGATTTATCAGTCACCAGCAGCTGCAGCAGCAGCTGCTTCTGTTACAGCTGCATATGCCTTGGCCAAATCTGAGAAGCTGGATGCTTCCCGCATAGAAGCAAACTCGAGAGAACAAGGTAAAAAGAAACCTTCTCAGGAAGACCTCGTTATTGAAATCGATGCAATAAAGGAAGACAAAAAGACACTGGAAGTGTCACTAGCAGATGCCAGGGCTGAGAATTCTGGACTCAGAGAAAAGATCGATGAAGTTAACAGTACTCATGCTGATTTATCGAAGGTTTCCTTCTCGTATAGCTATTTATTTATGCATGAATATTGTTAAAATGCATTTGGATTTTATCTTGATTCCAATATTCCTCTTGCAGGAACTCCATTCTGTGCAGGGTCAGTTGGTGACCGAGAGATCGAGATGCTTTAAACTCGAGGTTCTTCAGCTTTCCTCTTATCTTCCTAACTCGTATGTTTTTCTTGGTCATTATCAGTCAGAATGTTACAGTGTTTGATTATGGGGGTAATACCATGATTTCCAGGCACAAATTGCTGAGCTGCAGAAGGCACTTGAATCATTGGAGTCGATAGAAAACGAAGTCCAACTACTCCGGAGACAGAAATCTGTTCTGGAGCAGGAGATTGAGATGAATGATGCCGCTCAAAAGCAGGGTTCTGGGGTCTGGCGTTGGATAGCTGGGTGAAAAATCATCACAACCCTATTGCAGCAGGCAAGGCATCAACCTTTTGGTTCATACCATTTTTGTGAAGATCCTGTTCGCTGCCATCAGCCGAACTGGATCACCGAGGATCTGAAGCTGCCAAACATTTGCGACATTTACTTTCTCTTGAAGAAACTGTGGTTTCGGAATTCATGAACACAATTGAAGTTCACCTCTTGTATGAACTCCGAAGATCCACAATAGTACCTGCTGTGACGAATTGGTCTTTTGCTGTTAGAAGCTTAAATTATTGGTTTCTGTGCTCTCCTCATCGTCCGAAATGAAGAATTGTATCATATTGCCGGTGAGATTGATCGTCTCACAAACTTATACGCACCCAGTGCTACTTTCTTTTTCTTTGTTTATGTTGTTGATTCAATCAGAAATCTCAAGATAATGGCTTACAACATTTATATGGTGAAATAGTGAATGTGTAAACAGAATCGCTTGCAAATCAATTTCTTGTCAAAGCTTCTGATGATAAGTTTCGGCCATCTTGCTTGAAAAACAAGAAAACCCGAGCGGGTGCAATTCGCTTGAAGCAGTCATTTTCACAAGCTAAAATGTAGCAGATATAGTTACAGAATTACAGTACTCTGAAATCTACCTAAAAGTTTATATAGTCAGGCAAACTACTCTATAATCACATATCACCATTACCATGTGAACATATACCGGACTTCTTTACGCTCCACAAGGGAAAAGAATACATCTTCTGAAATCTCCATCATCCCAGCACTAGTCCCGTAAACACCATTCATTATCTTCACATCTTTCAACTGATGTCGCCAACAAGTACCATTGCCGCAGCAGCTACCAGGATCGACATTCATAAGCTTCCCGCAGATGTACTGTATTGATAGGAGTAAGAGAGTAGTTATAATGAACTCGTAACATGGGAAATCTAAGAGATTATGATGAAATAAACTAAACTATGGTGGTCAGATGAGACGAGAGGGCATTTGGTGCGGGGGGTTTTCCATACCTCTGAAAATAAGAAGCTGTACTTCAGTTGTTTTGGAAGGCGTTGAGTTATGCCCACGAACTTAGGACGGCAAGCCCAGAACAGGCCATCAAGAATGTTATCACACGCCTTCAGGCCATCCTGGTATGCCGAATTCTCCCCAAATTGCATATGTTGAACAACCGGAGGAGGGTAAGTGCAATCAGCTTGGCTCAAGTCGAACGACACCTTTCAATTAGCACATAGACAGAGACAGACAAGAATGCTTTGTTCAATTCAAATCACATTTCTGCATATAGATATTGTAACCATTGATTGAGAGAGACAGAGAGGTCCATACCTGCTTAAAGAACCCAGCTCCATCCAACTTCAAGACCGTGTGGAGTTTACTTAATCCCGTAAGAAACTGCCTCAATCCAAGAAACCATTCGTATGTTATGGGCAGACGAAAATCAATGTCAAACACTTCAACTAAGCATTGGCAATTCGATGCCACATTAAGGACATTGATTTTGCCTCGCAGCCCCGAGCCACATCTGGAGTAGTAGAGATTAACCAGATTGGGAGCATCAATCTCAAGCTCCTTCAATGCCTCGATTGGGTGGAAATCGTCGATCCTGAAATGCTGAAGCTTATCACTCGAAATCCTTATCCTATCCATTCTGTAGCTGATGCTGCTGGGATCCTTGATCACAAAATGCAGAGACTCCAAAGATGGTAACTTGGAAATTAACTCATCAAGATCAGACCCTGTCAATCCCTTAGAGTCACTAAATTCTAACACTTTGAGACTAGGGGCTGAAGATGAAGATACTACTTTCAGCTTACATTGCCCTGTATGTTTAATGTCCACAGTCTCTAGCTGTGGGGCAGCAGCTATCTTTAGTTCAATCAGGGAATGCGGCTGCTCAATGATTAGGGTTTTCAAGTTTGGAAAATTACCGTCGGCGGAGATCTCCAGCCTTTCCAATTCAACGAGGGACTCCAAACGCAGTGATTCCAGACGAGGGGCATTGGCAACGAACCTGCGAAGGACGCTTTCGTCGACCTTGACGTTCTGGAGATGGAGAACCCTAAGACTGTCGAAGGAAACTGAGCGGTTTCGGAATCCATCATCATCATCATCCAATCTGCAACCTCTCAGCTTCAGAACCTCGGTGCGACTGCAATTCGAAAGCAATCCCTCAGGGAAATCATGGAAACCGTCCGTTTCAACTACAATCTCTACGGGAGATAGGGTGTGATTCACGGCCAGCGCCGCTGCCGACGCCAGCAGCGCGGTGAGTTCCTCGCCGGCGAAATCGCGATTGGGCGGCGATGAGATCCTGAACACGTCCAACGGCATCCCGTAGTTGTCATGGTCCGAAAGCCTCCTCGACCAGGCGGCGGCGAAGCTGCTGAACTTTTCCCCAAGATCACACCGACGATCGGCGAAGTCCTCGTGGCGAAATTCCAGCACCGGGTACGAGCGCCAGAATTGGAGCCAGCTTCTGGACAATGCGCTGGTTCTCGCCGCCTGAATTGCAGAGTTGAGGCGGTCAAGAATAATGTGGATTACTTTAGAAGGAAGATCAGATATTCGATCAGTGCCGGCGCCGGCGGCGGCTGCGTCGATCCGCGGCGACTCTTTCATTGCTCTGCGTCGGGTTTTCTTTCTGCCTCGGCTCTGGCCCAAAGCAACTGTTTTTGGTGCTTCATGATCTTATAATCGGCCTTTTAAGTTTGGGCTTGGGCCTGGGCTTGGGCTGTGGTAAAAGGAGGAACTTCAGGATCACATCTGTACGCCACGTGTCGTATGGGTGGCCTTACACTCGACTCTCCTCTCTCTCCCGCTTTGCCAATCATCCAAACGAAGTTCAGGTCTCTGTTCCACTTCCTCCTTTCCCTCTCAACTCAATCCAGGAAGCAGCAGAAGCAGCTGCTATAAACCCAATTCAATTTCTCCTTCGCCACTCTCCCTCATAGACGCGACAGTATTGACTTCTCTCCCTCTGTCTATCCTTCTTCCTCCCTCGAGCTTTCTATCTTCTGGCTATGGCGGTGGCAGAGCTTACATCCCCTGCTGCTTCCTTTGCCCACAATTACAACAACGCCCACCGTCTCCGCTCTTCCCAGCTATACGTCCCCTCTTCCTCTTGTCTTTCCTCTGATCATTTCCGAGCCATATATCGGTCCAGAGTCCTGCCCAGAATCACCTGCTCTGTAAAGTACGTTTCTTTTTGCTTCTCTAACCCTTCCTATCTTCTCGTTTTGTTTGATTGCTGCAAGCTTGTAACTTATTTTTGGGTGTTTTCCTTGTTGGGTTTCAGTCAAGTTCAAAATTCGGCTCCGGTTCAGGTGGAAACGCCGAAGGACAAGGCTGAATGTTACGGCGTTTTCTGCTTAACCTATGATCTCAAGGCTGTAAGTTGCTCTGTTTCCTCTGTTTTCATCTGTTACAAACTGTGGTCGTTATCCTTTTTCCCTCAGAGGAAGCTTTGTCGTCCGTGATCCAGCATTTTATTTTGATTAAGTTAATACATCTTGGTTTTACTGAGTGCATACCAGGTGTTTGATGATAGTTTTGCGAGAGAAAATTTATGTGTGATGATTCCAATCAACCATCCTCTACTTCTGAGGGTGTCCAAGTTTGGGAGTTCAGTAACATAATCGGGACATTTTGTTTCTGCGTTTCTGTTTCTTTTAGAGCCTTTCCCCTGCTGTTTCGCTCACCGACTTGGATTATGTCTTCATGGCTGCTGAAACTGATTCTGTGGGGTTTTCTCCTTGTGCAGGAAGAAGAGACTAAAACATGGAAAAAGTTGATTAATATAGCCGTCTCTGGTGCGGCTGGGATGATATCCAATCATCTTCTCTTTAAAGTAAGTAGTAATCGCCTTCTTCATGTTCATGAACTGCTTCTTGCATTGTCAGTCTAGGTTATTGTGGCTCCCCAAAATGATGTTACTTTTCGCCTTGTAATACTTGCACCTAGATGGTTTTGTTTTTTGAATTGGAAGCTTTGTTTCCAATGATGGGCAGCTCACAGGGGGTGAGTGTATCCCAATCTTAATCAGAAGAAAGTATAATATTTGGTTATGCCGCAATTTTATAGTTTTTCATTTATGTTCATTGTAGTGATTCTGCTGTCCTATTGCAGCTTGCATCTGGTGAGGTCTTTGGACCCGATCAACCAATTGCATTGCGACTCTTGGGCTCTGAAAGGTCAATTCAAGCTCTTGAAGGTAGTAGTTCTTTGCATACACGAACAAAAAACAATTTGACCTCAGCACAAGAGAGATATGTATCTGAAACATGTGCCCATGCCATTATAGGAAGTGGCATTGTGCTGCTTTCCTTGTTACTGTAATGCCCATTTCTTTTCATGAAGTTGGAAACAAATCATTCTTCCAAGTAATGACTGAGGTAACTTTTATTCACTCCACAATTTCACTTGTGTGGTGGGGCAGGTGTCGCAATGGAGCTTGAGGACTCCTTGTTTCCTTTGTTGAGGGAGGTCAATATCGGAATAGATGCATACGAGGTTTTCCAAGATGCAGAATGGGCTCTTTTGATTGGAGCAAAGCCCCGAGGACCCGGGATAGAACGCGCTGACTTGCTAGATATCAATGGGCAGATATTTGCTGAGCAGGTACCAAATGTGCCAAGATTTCCTCCTCTCATTTGTCCTTTTTACGCACTGATTGAAGCTTACAGTCTTAACTCAAACTTGATAGGGTAAGGCTCTAAATGCTGTTGCCTCCCCGAACGTCAAGGTGATGGTAGTTGGCAACCCATGTAATACCAAGTAAGTCTATCAATCAGGTTGCTTTGACATGTTGATTGTTATTTTCCCTTGGTTTGTTAGGGTCTGTAGTACATTTTGGTGCTTCAATTGATTTGTATTATTCCCTTTGGTTGCAGTGCTCTGATTTGTTTGAAAAATGCTCCAAAAATACCTGCGAAAAATTTCCATGCTTTGACTAGGTTAGATGAGAACAGGGCGAAGTGCCAGGTATCCTTGAATTCTTCAAGCTTGTTCTATTAGAAATCATGGTGAAGAAAACATTTACATTTAACAACGTGGAGTTTTCTTGCAGCTTGCCCTAAAAGCAGGTGTCTTTTATGACAAAGTGTCAAATGTGACGATATGGGGAAACCATTCCACAACTCAGGTACTCCATTTCCTTCTGTCGCCAGACTGCATATATTGTGGTGCTGCTTTGGAACTTACACTGCAAGAAACATTTCTCTGATCTGCATATATAGGTTCCAGACTTCTTAAATGCTAAAATCGACGGAATGCCTGTCAAGGAAGTTATCAAAGATGACAAGTGGCTCGAACATGAATTCACTGAGAAGGTCCAGAAGGTGAGAGATGTTGTAGATGCACTGAAATTGTAGTACCTCTGCAATTCTTTTGGGTTCCATTTCCTTTCGCTTCAGATTCTCAAATTCAAAAGCTGTTACAGCTGACCGATAGTTAACCAACAAAGTAAATATCGGAACATTGCAGAGAGGTGGAGCACTGATTCAGAAGTGGGGGCGGTCATCAGCTGCATCAACGGCTGTTTCAATTGTCGATGCCATAAAATCTCTCGTGACTCCTACTCCTGAGGGTGATTGGTTTTCTTCTGGAGTAAGTTTCATCTGCTTGATCGCTGCCAATCGAAACACCGGTCACTCGTTCCTCCATTGCCTTGGTGAGGTGGGGGGATGTAAATCTCACCATTTTACTATGTACACTGCAGGTTTACACAAGTGGAAATCCTTATGGTATAGCAGAAGACATAGTTTTCAGCATGCCATGCAGATCAAAGGTCAGCTCTCTTTCTCCTTCACTCACTTACATTCAAATGGGAACAAATGTCTTCTCTCATAACTCAGCTTTCTACCAGGGAGATGGTGATTATGAACTTGTCAAGGAAATACAGTTCGATGACTACCTCCGCAGTAGAATAGCTAAGGTATATGCCGTTCCTTGATGTTCACTCATGCCACTACTTCAGAAGCCACAAACGATAGATGTCCTAAAGCAGCTCTTCACATTTCCAACTTTTGTATTTAACTTTTTCTAATTTGCAGACTGAGGCTGAACTGTTAGCTGAGAAGAGGTGTGTTGCACACCTTACAGGAGAGGTAGGGTTCATTCTCCATACCAGCTCCACTTTTGCGAGCTTATTTGCAATCGAAAATGTTAAGAATCACGCATCCTTTGGTTTCTATTTTCAGGGAATTGCTTACTGTGACCTGCCAGAGGACACAATGCTTCCTGGAGAGATGTGAATGGCACCAACCAGAGCCTCTTGACCAGTAGAATTCTTATGATATCACAATGAGACTGCTGTTGTATTGCCGTGGTAGATAGTGTAATTAGTTTACACTGTAGAAAAAAAAAATTGTAAGTTGTAAGTCTCTAGTATGATTATTGACTTACTGGATTACACATTGAGCATTCCTATGATGAGAATTCACGAGAACAAAGTAAGATTACTGTCCAGTGTCCAACTGTAACTAGTTAGGATTCCTGATCATAGTTGATCGAGACATATCTGGTATACTTATTTACAATTGGTTAGCTGCAGAATGAGACAGAATCGAGGTGGTGAACATTTCTTTCTTCTGAGCTTCAGTTCCTCTAGTCTGGCGAAATCGCGGTTTAGTCGTAGTTCAACCGTTAATACTGCTAACTACCGTCTACCCGTTTAGTCTCTTGTATTTTGCAGTTGAACCGCAAGTACGGTTCACTAAACATGGTTTATATACCCGAGGAAGGAGCCATTAACCAACCCTCTACACAAATGGGCTTAGTAGGATTAGGGCCGTAATTTATCCACTAACACTGCACACTAGCAGGCCCAAATAGGCAAATACACCACTAAAGCAAATTGGGCTTAGCTCGATTAACAAAATGAAAAAAAGGAAAAAGACGAAAGTCATGGATAATTTCAATTTGGAAAAGGATCTAGATTCTTCCTTTGAGGTTACTTCATACGCACTCCTCTAGTCCTTTTTTCCTTTACTTTTAAAAATTGGAAGCAGGAAAAAAAATAAACAAAGAAATTGACCAGAGGAGACAAAATCGTAATTTTCCTTCTCCCTACCTGTTTTTTTTTTCACCCCCCCGTCACATTAAAAAAACGCCCCTCCTACCATCCACTTTGCAGCTCACACTCTCCCACGTGGCGCCCCAGCTAGGCCCCACGTCGACTCTGGCCCGATACTTGCTAGCAAAGTACTCTTGTGGGCCCGGTCCAGCAACCAAGCCCATTAGCCGGTGACCGCACGAAAACTATGACCCTTTCATGACGGTGATCTAACGATTCTGTTTTCCCCAGTGACGTTAGCTTTTCCCCCTCCCCGCTTCCTCGTCCCTACATCGGAAATTCAGTCTATAAAACTCCGTCTCTTCGTTCCGCTGGCTATTTTTCTTTTCCCCATATGCGAAAAAGGCTTGGCAATGGCTGTTTCTCTTTCCTCCTAGTTTACGATTCCGCCACCGTCGAGCACCGCAGACGTTTGATTCAACGATCGACAGCTTTCCCTGTGGATTTTCCTTCCAACCCTAATCCTAATTTGGGTTATTGTCTCGAGACGAGGGAGTGATCGATTCAGTTTCCTTCTCAAGACGCAAGCTTTTTGTCGCGATTTCGTCTCGTGCAGCTCTTCCAATTTGATTCGGCTCGGTAGATGGCTCGTGGCGACTCGGCTGCTTTTCTCGGTCCTGGTTTCCGGTTCCACCCCACCGACGAGGAGCTGCTCCGGTACTACCTGAAGAGAAAGGTCACTAACAAGCCCGTCCGCTTTGACCCGATTTCCGTCGTTGACGTCTACAGAACGGAGCCTTGGGATCTGCCTGGTCTGTTTTTTCTTTCAATTTTGCACTCGGTTTTTGTTTTTGTTTTTCTTGATTATGGTTGATTTATGAGTTGGAGTAGGTCGTCTGCAAATTAGTATCTGCCAGGAAGTGCTTTAATTTTAGCTGCATATTGTGATTGATGTGAGGAGAACAGCTTAGTAAGTGAGTTAAATCTTCCAAGGTTGTGAATTTTGCGTTCTGGCAGTGACATTGATGAGTGATCGATTGGTTTGATTGTCGTAGTGCTCAGATCTTACCTAGGAAGTGAATTAATTTATTTCCCCTAAGTGTATAAGGCCGTCAGACTGTTGGTTCTGGGTGCCCTTGATTATTCTTTGATTAGATTGATTGTGGAATTGATGTCCTTTTTAACTTTCGGTTACAACTTGTGTTGGGACTTCTAGATCGATCGAAGTTGAAGAGCAGGGATTTGGAGTGGTACTTCTTTAGTTTATTGGATAGGAAGTATGGTAATGGGTCAAAGACGAATCGGGCAACCGAGAAAGGCTACTGGAAAACAACTGGGAAGGATAGGCCTATCCGCTCCAATTCTGCAATCGTGGGGATGAAGAAAACTCTTGTCTACCACCTTGGGCGTGCCCCGCACGGTGAGCGTTCCAATTGGGTGATGCATGAGTACCGCCTTTCTGATGAGGAGTTGGGGAAATTCGGAATTGGGCCGGTGAGTTGGAACTCTTTGTTTCTAAACTCTTGATTCAGCTGGTATTCTACTTACTTGCTTTGATGTTGCTGCTGATGGGTATTCTTCACTTTGTTGCTTGATTTGTGGCAAAAGGATACTTATGTCCTTTGTAGGATTTTCAGAAAGAGTGGAACTGGGCCGAAAAATGGCGAACAGTATGGAGCGCCTTTTGTTGAGGAGGAATGGGAAGATGATGATGTCCCTGTTGTGACTGGTCAAGAGATCGTTTCCCCTGATGGTGTGGCTGAGATTGACAGTGAATATGTGGACGCAGAAGAATTTGAACAGGTAGGTGCCTTTCATTGTTTGCTTCTTTTATTCAAACAGTTCATCATCCAACGTTATAGTTGGTGTAAGCCATCATTTGTTGGAGTCGAGTTTGGTAGAAATTCCGTCCATTCCGTATGTTCTACCATTTTATTGGGTCAGTTATCCACTTATTACCACAAGAGTAGTATTGTCTATGTAAGCTTTCATTTTCCTTTTTGATGATACAATGTTTTATATTTTGCTCTGGTCGAGAACGAAGTTTCATTTTACTTCAATAGAATCAATTCCGCAAATGTATGTTTTCATCGACTGTTTATTTACTTCTAACTGGTTTCTACATTTTTCATTCAATTATCTGTAGAAACTTTTTGCTGGAACTGATTGCGAGAATGTTGATGTTCCACCGACCTTCTACTATGAAGAGAAGAGCACTAAAATAGAGAATGTCGGAAGCTCTGATGAAGATGGTCCTAAACCCCTTATGGCCGAGCCTCTAAACACCTTGGCAGTACCAGTTTATCCACAGTTGCCTCATCTATCTGGGCAAAATGAGATGGGTGACAATTGTGTAGATGCACAGTATATTGCTAGTTCAAGCAAGGACTTGAATCCTCTTGACAACGGGGATTTCCATGGTAGACCGTATACAGATACTGCTAACAGCGAATACGCCGAAGGGCTTTTCTTGGAAGCATCTGAACTGTCGAACCCTCTGGAGCCAAGTTCAGACCCTGCAGATTTCAACTTTGAGGATTTCCTTGATTTAGATGAGTTGGACTTTGATCTTTCTGATGTATTGAGAAGTGACGATTTCACTTCTGGTCTGTCGCCTGAATCCAACAAGGTACTAAAGCTGGGTTGGAGTTTTCATTGCTGCTCTAGTTTGGTCTATTTTAAGAAGGGACTGGGAAATTGAATTTTCCTTCTGTTACAGGTTTCAAATGAGGTAGATGATGATCTTCACTCTAGGAGCGAGAACCTGTTGAGCATGCAGGGTGATGCATCGTCCTCCGAGCATATGCCTGATTCCACCATGCTGAAACCGTATAGCATGAAATCCGAAACCGGTAATTTTAGAATATCATATTGCTGTGATTTTGTTACATGTCGAGAGCCCAATCGGGTGAATGCACTCGCACACATTTTCTAGCCAGGTCGCGGCTTATTTCCTCTCTCCTGCTCTAGCTGATGCAGAGAGACTCATTTCCTGTGTTATGTTATCTGATTGTGCAGATATGAACTACCCGTTCATTAGCAAAGCGAGCCGGATGTTGGGTAATATACACGCACCCCCTGCAATGGCCGCAGAGTTCCCCGTTAAGGGAGCAGCTCTCCGGTACGCCTCAGCTCAACCTTCCAGCTCCTCCATTCACGTCACTGCTGGTATGATCACAATAGAGAACATGACACTGAGAGACGACGGGATGGATGGGTCTGCTTTCGGGAAGAACATGGGGGTCAATGTCGTCTTGTCGTTCACTTGGCCGCAGGGAGCTGGTGGTTCGAGTGTGAAGACAGGATCCATGGCTTCTAGGGCCTGGATGTGCCTGATGTTCTTCTGGGTCCTGATTCTTTCCGTGAGCTATAAGATTGGGATCAGTATCTGCGCGAAGTAATATCTATCATTATAGACGTCTACACTGGGGTTAGCGTTTTGCTATCAGACAGGTATATTGTTATTTGTAGGAGTGGGGAGGCGGGACTAACGATCAGACTGATTAATTTCTTTCACGTTTCTGTGTGTTCGCCTCTATTTTTTATGAGATTTGTGGAACACTTGTCTCTATTATATCATTATAGACACTCTGCATACTTTTTTCAAGCTACACAGCTTTACCATGACAGAGAGCCGTTCTGATTAGACTCATCGCTGCTGTTGGTATGGTTCAGCACGGAAGAAGTGCGGTAACAGCGTTCTTATAAGTAGTGATTGCAATGGGCGGGGAGGTACCCTACTTCTCATGTCCCGCCCGCCTCACGTTATTAGGCGTTATTATGGGTAGGGACGGGGCGGGCGGATCGACCCACTCATATATATGTTTTGTGAAAAAATTATAAGCAAATTTTACTTTTTATTATAAAATGAAGGGGGAAACACTTTGTGAATGAAAAACAGTGATAATAGAATAGGTAATTGAGTCGAAAAAGTTGAAAATTTGATTCTAATTAGTTGAAGAAAAGTCATAATAGGAGAAATATGTATAGATACTGTAAGAAATTGAGATAAAATGGGTCGGGGCAGGGCATGGTGGGTTGGAAGTAGATACTCATGTCCTGTCCCAAACTATTGCGGGTCAGATAATATCCGGGGGCGGGTTGAAATTGCCATCATACTAGCAAGGCGTTTGGTTTTGATGATTGTTTGGTTGAGATAGTTACAATACATACATTGTCCACAATGCATTGTTTTTTTGAATTTTCTGCACAAACAATACATGCATTGTTTTGTTGATGTGATGGAAACTATCACTCATAATGAGTGATAGTAATATCTCTATTAAAACTTGATATTGTTGAGATGGTTTTGGGGAGATTGTTGGGTTTCTTTTTTGTTTCAATTATACCCCTAGTTTTATATATATATATATATAGGTGACTACTTCGGTGCACTCACAAAAATGAGTGCGTTCAATGCACCCAACTCAAAAACTAGTCTTAAGGTGTCGGATTTTGAATTTTAATTTGTAGAATTAGTGTAATATGATGATATAACATATGATAACAACTAATTAGCGGATTATCCTAAGCCCTAGAGCTCCAATTTGAGGTCTATCCCCAAACCCCAAATTGTAAATCCTAACCCTAATTCTAAATCTCTAAACTTTAAATCCTTTAAATTAAAGTAAATTCATGTGTGTTATTGTTTATCACATCATAAGTGATGATTGATATCATTTTGACATAAAAACGCATGTTTAAAATGAAGGTTATGAAGCGAGTGCACTGAGTGCACCCAAAAAAGTGAGTGTACCGAAGACGCCACCATATCTATATATATATATATATATAAATAAAGTAATATAATTTATTGAATACTAAAAGAACTATCTCTAAAATCAAACAATGCAAAGTACATTACATCATTTTCGTTAATTGCATGTATATTATAATGTATGCATTGATCACAATGCATTGATTTAAGTATCACCAAAACCAAACGACCCTAGGTTTCAGTATCATGTAATCGATAAATGTGTTTTTTAAGGGTGATATAAGTTTTTTTTTGTAGTTAAAGTACTATTTAAGAAATTCAAACCTGGAAGCTCCAGGTTCTAGGCTAGTAGTATTATCGCTAGACCAAGCCATTGTTCGTTTTTATAAGGGTGATATTTATGAACGTGTTACTTTTCATTTTGATATTTATAATAGGGTTGTAAACATAGTTTGGTTAACTAAATCATTAAGCATGAAAAATCAAATCAAGAAAATTCCTAAAACCAAAATCAAAATTGTAAAGAGCCTTACCGGTCTTACGTTAACCGAAAATCGATAAATCCCCTAACAATTTCAGTTTGGTCTAGATACCCCGATAAACCAAACTCAGAGCTTGGGAAGTCCAGAAATAGAGGGGAAAAAAGACATCTAGAAGCATGAAGATAGGAAAGAAGTTTACTACACAAAAGTTGGTGAAAACGCATGTTATTGACGAATACTGACCTAGTTACAAACTTAGCGAGTTATCAAATTTTATTGGGTTTTTGAGTTTTAACCAGAACTATCAAGATGCTAAACTTTAAAATCGAAAACCAAAACCACCGATCCTCTTATCTATTTGGTTTCAATAAATCCCAAAAAACGAAAAAACCAAACTGATAGTCATAATGAATGTTTTTTTAAGTATTTGGAATTACACGCTCTATAAAATAGAAAGTCAGATTATTTATCCCCCCCCCCCCCGCGGCGAAGCTTGCTCGGAGGTGATTTCTCGACGATTGCCATGGGTACGTAGAGAGATGAAATGGTCGTACGTTCTTGTTTGGGCGACTTAGTTTAGTTGTTGCAGTTTGTGAAGAACCGTCGTCGACCGGTTTTGTAGGGTTACTAAGCCTACTACTAGGAGGAGAATAAATTTTGATAAGGAGAAGGACAAGTTATTGCTCGCACAAATTTATTTTATTATTTTACAATTTTCTAAGTTTTGTTTTATTTTTAAGTAACTTGGCATCCAAGTTAAGCTTTCTCAGTATATATTCAAAAGCCACCTGTTGACTTTAGAGAAAAAGAACAACTCTTGTGTTTGTGAAGGTGAAAACTTATTTGATTCCATTTTTTTTTTTTTTGGAATTTTTTGTGGTGGAAATATTTGATTCCATTTTATCTCATAGCTTATATAGTTGGAATAAGTGGAGAGTGTTGGAAGTTGAAGGAGGTAGAAGTCTGGTAGAATAGGTATCCGAGATGATGGACAGTTAAAACATAGAGGATTTTGATAATGTTGGACTGGAGCTTCACCCGAACGAAATGGCAGATAAGTTCAATATGTTTTGAACGCTCATGAAAAGTAGGATTCTCTGCAATTTAGATTGCTGATTGATTGCCACACTACATTGTCGCAGGCTATCGATGTGGTATTTCGGAACAGGTGAAACACGACCATGTTTTGTCCTCCCGCACCCGTATTTTTAGTGACGAGAAGAAACAAGGGAAGGGCTGAAACACAGCCTGAGAAACACTGTCGTATTTCTGCTCGCTGCTCGGGTATAAGTCTGTTTTCTGCGATTTTTGGAGGGGGACGGCTAGATTTTGGATCCCAAACACCCAAGGGAAGAACCAAAGAGAGAAAGGGCGATCTAGAGCCATTCTTGGAAGTTGGAACTATTTTGGAGGATTATTCACCATTGAAGCTCAAGGAACAAGTCTAGACATGAAAATTGAAGATCCAGAAAGTTGTACTGCAATTCTCTTCTCTATGGAGTAACTTCCATTCACTTAGGTTTTGAGGAACCCTAGTTCCTTGTGTTAGGATCTTTCTTGTTTGAAACTTTAAATGTTATACTTAATGGTTTTAATCAATTGGGGCATGCATGATTGTTGAGTCGATTGAATCCTGGTCACTTTCTTTTGATTTCTGTTTTAACCTATGATAGATAGAATCTTATTGGGTTCATATAGTTTTCTCTATTGGTAGTAGAGAATTGATTATACGAGAGTCAGTCAAGAGAGCTTTCACGATTTTTCTTATGATAGGATCCTGCCTTTTATTTCCTTACGAAGCTGAATAGCCTTGCATCTTTGGCTAGATGGAAGAGAAGCAAAGGTGATCTTGTGAATGTGCACATTGAAATCAGTAAGTCTTCGAAACCTTTTCTTTCCAGTTGGGGTTTTGTTTGCTTTTTGTCTCTCTCTTATCATTTAGTTATATGGTAATTTAAGCATGATTAGGCTATGAAGAAAAGAATGGAGCCAATGCTATGGATGTTTGCCGTTTGGAGGATTTGAATTAGAAAGAAAACCTCTTAATGTGGGATCAGAAGGTGGAAGGTTTCTCGAAGAAAGTAGTGAGTGAAATTTGATAAATAACTAGTAAAGAAATAATCTTAAAATTTCTTTTTCTTAAAAGGTGAAGTAGTAAAAATATTTTTTGTCAAATAGATTATAAGCATCAATATCATCCATACTCCATTATTGTTATTATTATTAATCACGCAAAATATAAAAAAGAACAAAATTGTATTTTAGTTTTGCACATATCATATGTGTAAGTAATAATCTTAAAATTTAAGCATGATTAGGCTATGAAGAAAAGAATGGAGCCAATGCTATGGATGTTTGTCGTTTGGAGGATTAGAATTAGAAAGAAAACCTCTTCACGTGGGATCAGAAGGTGGAAGATTTCTCGAAGAAAGTAGTGAGTGAAATTTGATAAAAAACTAGTAAAGAAATAATCTTAAAATTTCTTTTTTCTTAAAAGGTGAAGTAGTAAAAAATACTAAAAATATTTTTTTCGTCAAATAGATTATAAGCATTAATATCATCCATACTCCATTATATTTATTATTATTAATCATGCAAAATATAAAAAAGAACAAAAATGTATTTTAGTTTTGCGCATATCATATGTGTAAATGCTCAGAATAGTGTAAAAAATATCATCAAACTCCCCATTGTGCAACAAAATATGCATAGGGAGAATAAATTGAACTAATATAATTGAAAAAAAGATCAATATCAAATTAATTATGTAAGTTACGCTTGGATTAAAACTAAAACATAAAAATTACAAAATAAAAACGGTAATTTATGATGATTATCAAATATTTCCTCGCCCCGTTTTAATTAGTAATCAAATCAAAGAATTGTATGTACATCAACATGAATATGCAATTAATCCATTCTCAGTTAGATACCTGAAAGTTTTTGCAAGTATCAGTATCCAAATGTCATATTGTCTAATTCTTTGAAATGGAAAAGATTTTCTTGTCGGGAAAGTCCAAATCTCAAGGCGTCCGGTAGATGTTTCTATTCATGTTCATCCTCTACCGGCATGTTATAAAAAAATAAGAAGAAACCTTCGTCTGTTCAGCACATAAAATGAGTGATGGTGGCGATGTTACCGGAAGAGATATGTAGCTTGTACATCTTGAAAACACTGAGTGCATGTTATAAAAAAATAAGAAGAAACCTTCGTCTGTTCAGCACATAAAATGAGTGATGGTGGCGATGTTACCGGAAGAGATATGTAGCTTGTACATCTTGAAAACACTGAGTGTCAACTAGTGTACCGAGCTAGTCAATCTGCCGGAGGGGATGAGCCAATTAGTGAATCTCACGTACTTTTACAACTATGTGACTAGAGTCTATCTTCCTGAAACGTATGCTTGCATATTCGTCCATATGTCAAATCAAGGGGTTAAGCAGTTGGGCAAGCTTAGAAGATTGTCGACGTTTACCGTGGGAGACGAACGTCTAGAAGGGATGACAAGCCTTGACGACTTGAAGATATTTCTGTGAAGGAGAAAATGATGATGGTGTTGTTGATACTATTGCTCTCGTTGTTGTACTTTCTTTCTTTATCTAATTTTGCTAGTTGTTGTTCATCTCAACTCTAACTCGAGATTTAAGATTTTGACATAATTGTGGATCTCAAATCGAGATTTTGGGCTCCTTCCTGGCCTCGGAGGAAGTACTCGTATACAATGCATCTGTTGATTGATCTATTGTTGTTTTGTTTTTTGCATTCATAAGTGAAGTGTTACTCAGTCCAAAAAACATCGAGGGGAAATTAAATGTGCAGTTCTTATATCCATTTTGGGGAAAGAAAAAAAGATTAGGGACGAAGAAGAAAGTAACCAAACTTACATTAGTTGGAAAGAGCTTGCAACCAACTTCTTAAAAGGTGAAGTTGTAAAGCGATTTTTTTTTGTCAAATAGATTATAAGCATCAGTATCATCCATTTTCGATTACAAACTCCATTATTGTTATTATTATTAATCACCCAAAATATGGAAAAAGAACAAAAATGTATTTTAGTTTTGCACATATCATATGTGCAAGTGCTTTGAATAGTATATAAAAATATTACCAAAGGCCCCCTCCTAAATCGTGCAACATAGGTTGCATGGGGACAATAAACTGAACTAATAAAATTAAAAAAAGATCACTATCAAATTCATTATGTAAGTTACGTTTGATTAAAACTTAAACATGAAAATTGCAAAAGAAGAATAATAATTTATGATGATTGTCAAATATTTTCTCTCCCTGTTTTGATGAGTAATCAAATCAAAGAATTTTATGTGCATCAAGCATGAATATGCAATTAATCCATTCCTCAGTTAGATGAGTGTAAAAAGATTAACAAAAAAAAAATATTAATCCAAAGAACTATATATGTGAATTTACAAAAGAAATGATTGATACCTGATTTTTTTTTTGCAAGTATCAGTATCCAAATGTCATGTTGTCCAATTCCTTGAAATGACACAGATTTTCTTGTCGAGAAAGTCCAAATCTCAAGGCGTCTAGTAGTTGTTTTCATTCATGTTCATCCCCTACCGGCATATTATAAAAAATAGAATTAATAACTTATTTTTGGCTCAAACTATACCCATAATCTCAATGAGATTGGTTCTACCAATGACTAAATCATCCACATAAAACCAGAATGAAAGTATAAGATATGCCAGTTGATTCGTAACAAAGGGAATGTTCCACTCTGTTGGAACTATATTCTTGAAGGTGCAACTTTTCTGCCATTTTAGAGAATCGTGGTCTTGAGACTTGTTTGAAGCCATACAATGATTTCTTTAGGTGGCAAACTGAGGTTGATATCTCGGGAGGTGTTTTATACCCAAGTAGAAGCTTTATATGTATATTTTCTTTTTGATCTCCATGCAACAAGGCATTGTTGATGTTCAGTTGTTGAACATGCCATCTTCGAGCTGCTGCAAGTGCAATAAATAATCTGATGGTAGTTGTACCACCCCACCCAAAAATCATGGTTCGAATCGATGGTTCAACCGCGCAGCAGAAATCACTCGGGGTTTACGTTTTGAAAATCTTGACTCAACTCATATGACGATTTTATGATATATGTTTAAAACTCAACTCCTCATAAGAATTTACTAAAAATCGTTTTCT